TTAACACGTGCCCAAATAGGGAACAGGAAACACCGACCAAGGTAAAGCACGTTGGTGAGACGGTATTATTATTATATACTAATAATATCCTCATTGAAGCAAATATTGGGCATCTTTCAGGCGCGACTTAGTAAAAGCCAAGCGCTTGTTCACTTTTTACACGATGTGTCACGGCCGCACCGGCCCCCCACGCAACCCCTTCTGTTTGCCACTATAAATATAACCCACCCATCAATGTTCAACCACCATCACAACTCAGCTTTTGCTGTAATAGTTCCTCCTCTTTAAAAAGCAATAACAACACTCCAAGGCTAACAAGAGAGCCATCTTCATGGCTTCTTCTTCTCTGCTGACGTTTCCTTCTCTTCAAACACAGTTTTCTTCACCCAAGAAACCATTATTATCTCCGTCCACTAAGACACGCAAACACTCGGTTAGATTTCGCCCGACCATCTATGCTTCAGCGAAACCGCAGATCACGGGTTCGAAACCCAAATCGGAGAAGCCTCCAGTGAAAAAAATTCCCGGCAACTATGGGTTGCCCTTAATTGGCCCAATCATGGACCGACTTGATTACTTCTACAATCAAGGCAAAAACGATTTTTTCAAATCAAGAATCCAGAAGTACCACTCAACGGTGTTTCGAGTCAACATGCCGCCTGGCCCTTTCATTGCTCCTAACCCAAACGTCATCGCTTTGCTCGACGGGAAGAGCTTTCCCATCCTCTTCGATTTAACGAAAGTGGAGAAGAAAGATCTGTTTACCGGAACCTACATGCCGTCCGTCGAACTCACCGGTGGCTACCGAGTTCTCTCGTATCTTGATCCGTCCGAACCGCGCCACGCCAAGCTGAAGAAACTCTTGTTCTTCCTCCTCAAGTCACGCCGCGATCACGTGATCCCTGAGTTTGAGACCAGCTACGGCGAGTTATTTGAAACGCTCGAGAATGATCTCAAGACGAAAGGGAAGGCCAGTTTCCCAGAAGCCAACGATCAAGCCGGTTTCAACTTCTTGGCCCGGGCTCTATATGGCTCCAACCCAGCGGATACGAAACTCGGGCTTGATGGACCGACGTTGGTTAGCAAGTGGGTATTGTTTCAAATCGGTCCTCAACTCACTGTCGGCCTCCCGAAGTTTCTAGAGGAACTCCTCATCCACACTTTCCCTCTTCCCCCTTTCCTGGTGAAATCTGATTACCAGCGGCTCTACGATTTCTTCTACGAGTCGTCCGGATTCGTCCTCGATGAAGCCGAGAAATTGGGCATATCGAGAGAAGATGCTTGCCACAACCTGTTGTTCGCCACGTGCTTCAATTCATTCGGCGGGATTAAAATCCTCTTCCCCAACATGATGAAGTGGATCGGCAGAGCCGGAGCGAAGCTCCATACGGAGCTGGCCCAGGAGATCAGATCGGTGATCAAATCCAACGGCGGGAAAGTCACAATGGCCGCCATGGAACAGATGCCGTTGATGAAATCAGTGGTGTACGAAGCGCTCCGCATCGAACCGCCTGTGGCGCAGCAGTACGGGAGGGCGAAGCGAGACCTCTTGGTCGAAAGCCACGACGCCATTTTTGAAGTGAAAGAAGGGGAACTGTTATTCGGGTTCCAACCCTTCGCCACAAAGGACCCGAAAATATTCGAGAGACCCGAGGAGTTCGTGGGCGACCGGTTCGTTGGAGACGGGGAGAGATTGTTAAAGCACGTGCTTTGGTCTAACGGACCGGAGACTGAGAACCCAACATTAGGGAATAAACAGTGTGCTGGGAAGGATTTCGTTGTACTGTTATCAAGGCTTTTGGTGGTGGAACTTTTCCGACGGTATGACTCTTTCGACGTCGAGGTGGGTGTGTCGGCGTTGGGGGCAGCCGTCACAATAACGTCGTTGAAGAGAGCCAGTTTTTAAAAAAAATGAAAGAGTAAATCTGGGATGTAACGTGGGTTTAACTGCTAAATTAAATGTGGTAGTTGGTGTGTGGGCCCATTACTTTATTTTAATTGTATGTATATACACTGCACCCTGGAAGGTGGCCCATTTTGGCGCTGTCACATATTTTAAGAAGGGTGATGTTATATGATAATTTTTGTATTTTTTTATATATAATTTTTATGTGGTTAAATGAGTAAATGGGTTTAAGATAATAAATTTTATATAAATTGAAAAAATTAATTATTTTAATAATATATTAAATTATATAAAAAAATAAAATAAAAAGATTACACGAAACTTTTTTTTTTTTAAATGATAATGATTCAACTGTAGAATGTATTCCGTACAACATTTTTTTTTTCCCTAGAGAAAAATATTGCGAACCCAAGTACCACATAACTTAATATTATTAATGAAAGTGGGTTTTTCTCGATGGGTAGTACCTTTCATTAATGGTCATGATTTTGTAATATGATTTATGTTAAATTATAAAATGATACACATAAAAATACAAACTTTCACAACCTTATTTGTGTTGGGTCATCTGACTTTGTGGGGCACTCCGTATGGCATGTCTTCTTGCTCCTCGGGATTACTACAACGTCATCAAGGGCGAGGACGGGCAAAGATTTTCTCTCTTGAAAATCAGCAAATAGGCATAGCAAACGGCAGTCAATTATGAGAATAAAAGCGACGCAAAGTTGCAAACACTGCTTCTTCTTCTTCTTTTTCTTATTCTTTTTCTTTTATAAGGGTAATGTTTATTAGGTTAATATTGTTAAATATTAATAATTAGGAATTCGATCTCTAAATCTGATAAATAATCCACCAATCTAAAGACACGCGACTATCAAACTACTTGATGAAGTTCGTTGCAAACACTAATAAATGTTAATAGACCAATAATTTAATGATTTGAAAGGAAGGAATATTGTTTTTTTAAAAGAAAGTTTTGAATTTATATTTTATAAATAAAAAATAAATATAATTTTTTTTTTTATAAAATTAATTTTAAATTAATTAAAATTTAATAATAAATAAAATTTTAAATATAAAAATAATTTTTTTTTTTTTTTTTATAAGGGTAATGTTTAGTAAATTAGTATTGTTAAATATTAATAATTAGGGATTCGATCCCTAAATCTAATAAATAATCCATCAACCTCGAAACACGCAACCATCAAACTACTTGATGGAATTCGTCGCAAACACTAATAAATGTTGATAGACCAACAATTTAATGATTTGAAAGGAAGGAATATTGTTTTTTTAAAAGAAAGTTTTGAATTTATATTTTATAAATAAAAAATAAATATAA